AGTCTTTGTTCCATACTCCTTTTAATGTTGCTTTTGCATGATGCATATCCAACATCAAATTACAGGGTATTATTTTCAATACAAAAACTGCAGATTGGTGTTTTCTTCAAGTCTATCCAAATCATAACCTTGCAAAAAAAATCCATTTCCCTTACAGAAGTACAGTTTAATGTCAGTCATTAGCAACATATGCTCAAAAGGAGTATGGCTGCTGGAAGGCATGGCAAATGTGTGAATCAGGAAGAAGCAGAATAATAAATGGATTTCAATTCTGTCTCAGAGAATAAACATTAGAGACCAGGGTAACAGGATGGATCCTATTAATTTTGATGCTCCAAAGAAGACATTTCAAACTATCTACACTGAGTGCTAGTGCCTAACATTTAATACTTTGCAAAACATTCTGGAACCAAGATTTCACATTTTCATTACATCAGTGACTTCTGTTGCATTATGCTGAATACTACTACTACCAATAATACTAATAGTAGTATTTATTTATTTATATATTTATTTCTCACCCCATGGATTGAGGCGAAGGACAACAACATTAACAGACACACCACATTAGTTAAAACACATCAGTTAAAATACACATCAGTTTAAAAAGGCAAATAAGAGATAAGCATATTAAAACAATCTACATTAAAAATTCATCATTTAAAATTCACAATTTAAAAATAATCTGAATAAGCCTGCCAGAAGAGACTAGTCTTAAAGCTTAAAGAATGGATATCTCCTTTAAAGTTTGAACAAAAGTCTGGGCAGATTCATCATCCAAATGCCATGAGAGCCAAAAGACACCACTGGTCCCACAAGTGAAATTAGTCTTAGTGATCCTAGGCTGCTGCCACACAGCAGAATTAATGCAGTTTGACACCACTTTAACTACTATGGCTCAATGCTATGGATTTGTAGTTTGCTGTGGCACCAGAACTCTCTGACTGAGAAGAAATCCCAGAATTTCATATTGTTGCTCCATGGCAGCTAAAGCAGTGTCAAACTGTATTAAGGAGACAGAAGTCAGGCTCTGGTTACATAGTATTTGCTTTGCTCCAAAGGTAGCAGGAAGATTCAGATGGTGTGGCTGCAGTGTTAGCAAGATATCTGGAGCAAGTATGGCTGCATCTACAGTGTAAAAATAATGCAGTTTGAAACCACTTTAACTGCCATGGTGCCATCTTACAGAATGCTGGGATTTGTAGTTTTGTGAGGCACCACCATTCTTTGGCAGAGAAGGCAAAAGACTGTAAAACGACACATCACAGAATTACATAGGATGGAGCTGCAACACTTAAAGTGGTATCATACATAGTTATTGTACATGAACATAGGTCATCAAAAGTAGTGTCAAACTGCATTATTTCTATTTCTACTACTGGGGCTGGAACAGTTATACAACTGAAACTCCTCAAGCTGAGATGCTGTAGCCACTTCTTCCAAAGGAAATTCCCAGTGGTAACTTCCCAAGTAATATTGGATGGAGCAAGATGGTGTCAGAGTAGCCGGGCGCATTTGCTCTACTGTCAGAGTTTCTTATGCTTATCTTGCTCTTTACCATTGAAGTCAATTATGGCTGACTGAACAAGACTGAAGCATAATCTTTAGGGTAGAAGAGTCATGGAAAACATATAGCAAAATTAATAATGACTAAAAGGAAGAAAAGGGCAGTGTCCCTTCCATCTTCAAGTGGTCAAGCTGACTCTGACCAGACCAGAAAGAAGAAAAAACTCACCCCTTTTGTAACTAAAGGTACCTGAACTGTTACCAAACAATCTAGGATTGAGGATTTTGTGGCTTCACAGTCACCCCCTTCATCTAGGAATATATTACAGAGTAGATTCATATTCTTGGAAGGTCTGGGAAGTGAAGAGAAAAGAATATCTTGTCTGCTGGTTGATTTGCAGCATGAGGATTTGGTTCACCTTTATGCTACTTAAAGTTACTCTCAAAGCAATGTATGTTTTAACAGCTCAGACACTGAATTTATTGGTACTAAAATAACGGAGATCTTAGACGCATTATCTCAGTTGACTGTGATGCTTGTGTGGAACCATCCTGATTTTAGCAATGGAAACAAACATAATATGGCCAATGTGAAGCTGAAGGCTTTTCACGACTGGCATTCATAGGTTTTGGTGGTTTTTTCAGGCTGTGAGGCCATGTTCTAGAAGAATGTATTCCTGACGTTTCACCTGCATCTGTGGCATCCACCATTCTCTGAAGATGCCAGCCACAGATGCAGTCAAAATGTCAGGAATAACATTCTTCTAGAACACCGGCCTCATAGCGCGAAAAACCCACAAAAACCTATGATATGGCCAGTCAATCCAGGATAAATCCTAGAGCTGGCAACTTGCAGGAGAAATGCCCTAAGGCTGAGTTCCATCCTGAGGCTACAAACAAGGACTAAGAACCTCAAAAGTATCATTAGATATCTGTTCTTTTAATGGTTCACACCCCTTTTGGAATTTAATTTCTAATGCTAGCATGCACCTCAAATACATTCTAAGATTAAGACAGATTAATCTTTTAACTGGAACTGTCGCACTCATTTCCACATTATTCAAGATTTTACTTGATTTTAGAACCCCTCTCATTCCTAATAAGATTTTGAAAATCTTTAAAATGGCTTTGGTATCTTTCCTAGGCGTTATTTTAAAGATTTTTTTTTTAACTAAGCCTCTCCTGTTGCTGAGTAGAAGGCCTTTATTGAGAGCTTCTTTGAATTGCCAGAGGAGGCACAGAACAACATTAGGAAAAGATTAATGCCAATTTAAGCTAAACAACAAGAATGAAACTTTTAGTGACCTTTAAGGCACTATTGCAAGCAGAAGTAATGTTGGACTTGCTCTCAATATGTCTCCTTTCCCAGTATTCTTGTGTTTCACTGGGTATGGGGTTGTGATTGTTTATTTCTTTAAATTCAAGCTTATCCATGTACAAAGTCCCTATGCTCACCCTCCTTGGCGATGAGAATAAATGATGCGTGCACAAGAGCCTCAGAGATTGCCAAAGATGCCTTATGCAGGTTTTTGCTCATGCACAATTCACGTAATGCTCTGCCTCATGAGATCTATGTTCGATGAAGCTTGGCCTTGAATTTGGCAGTCTCTTCCTAGGTGTTCTGGAATACTCAGACTTCACTATGCCTCAGACATCTATCATAAAGGGTTTTTTCCAATGATGTCCAGCCTCAAACAAGAAACATAGGCTCCAGCTGTGCAATCTTTGTATTTCTTTGGTAATTGGATCTCCATTCTGGAAGTCTGCAAATCAAGCAATACCTTCTGGACTGTAAAGTGGAAAGAGTTTGTGTGCTTGCCTCAACTATAAACTTTAGAGAGGCCTCTATCTAGATTCTTTAACTTTCAAACAGTCTTTATTTCCCCTCCCCACATTATTCTCAAACGTTATAAAAAATGGGTTAAAACCATAATTAATCATACTAGAGCACTGAAATGGATGGGATATAACTTAAAATTGGTCTAACATTGGATTTATCTCTAAATGAAATTGGAATATTTTCCCAGAATTTGGAAAAGTTACTTTTTTGGACTATAACTTCTCACAGTCCCACCCTTGGGGGCATCATAGCCCCCAAAGTAACTTCTCAAAGCTTTGTCTTTTTTTCATAAATTGTAACCAAACATTACTATATTGCCATAGGAGGCAGAAGCAGATCATGAAGTAAAAGTCTGGTAAGCCATATTTTTTTGCTATTTGAGGAAAGCAGACATGTCTAAAAGTCTGATTTTCCATTTCTTTCCATCTGCAGCAGGATTAAAATTTTATGACTTGCACTAAAATGTGTTTGTATGCCATCACATTGCCTGTCGACTTATCATGACCTCATGAATTTCATAGGGTTTTCTTAGGCAAGGAATACTGAGCTGTCTGAGAAAAAAAAATCTTAGAAATATCTTTGCAATGCATAGCTTATTATATAAATCAGTGTTCCCATATTAAAAAAAAAGACAAAAGGTAAAATGAGATTTTAAAAAAAATCTACAGCTATAGAGTCTGGTAGATCATGGCCCTAAGCTATTTTACTTTGTTAAGGATTACAGTTTGCAGACTGAATGGAACATTATGTTATTGCTTATTTCCAAGTCTTAGCGGGTCTCCAAAACAGGGAATTCATTACATGCACACCACAAAAAGCACCCAACATTCACATTGTTGGCATTAGGTTTTCTGATGGCATACTCTTCAGAGCAACTTTGATATCAACACCATTTCAAGAAAATATTTTACCAGTGATAAGAACAGGAGAAAAGGGTATGTCAACTGGACGTACATCACATTAAGCTATCCAGTTTAGCAATTCTACTGGCAGTTCTTCTTTGCTGCAAAACATTTTATTGTGTACTGCAGAGCTTCATTGATTCTTCATCAGAATTTGACAGATAAATTCTATATGTTGAGGGAAAGTGAAGGCTTAAAAACCAGATGATGATTATTTTTTACCAGTGCTATAAATAAATTAGGTACCTGAAATTAAATGGCAAATAAAGAGAAATGACATAATATTTTAACAGGCATGTTTTGCCAAAATGATGCCAAAGCCACTTTTCCCAAAAATAGAACTAATGTTCTTAGTGAAGAAAATGTACAAGATCGCTATAAGTCGGGGCTGCTTGAGAGCAGTTAACAACAACAAATAATGGGAAGAGAGCTGTATGGTGTAAGATAGTGTCCCTCAAGCTGTCACCCCAAAATAAAGGAATTGACACAACGTTCCTAAATTTTCATCCACTATTTTGACATATGATACCAAATGAATAGTTATTTAATTGGCCCTGTGTCTCCCTACATTTCATCCAGTTTGTTATAACCTGCTATGTTTTTGCTGCTTGGTTAGTGGGCAAATCCACTATATATATATCAAGTTGTTTCCATGGGGTTTTCTTGGCAAGAGTTGTTCAGGGAAGGTTTGCCATTGCCTTCCCCTGAGGCAGAGTGTGTGTGACTTGCCCAATGTCACCCAGTAGGTTTCATGGCTGAACAGGGAATCGAACCCTGGTCTCCAGAATTGGAGTCCAATACTCAAAGCACTATGCCATGCTGGGTCATATTTCTGCAGTGTGTTTTGGCCTGATGTGATGTGTGTACGCGCGCGCACACACACACAAACGCATGAGTGTACCAATTATTTTTAAATATATATCATGTTAAATTTATGCAGCTATTAACATTACTTCTCAGAAAAGTTCCCTTTGTTCCTACAAGGTATGGCCTCTAGTCTTTTAGTTGTTCCAGTTCTGTCAAAGTAGGAATGGTTAATGTTGTGAATCATTCTGTGTGATGACCATGCAGGTGTACTACTGTCAATGTTGCCTGTCCTTTCCCCACCCCAAATTGTCATGATGGCATGTAGTCTTAATGATAGTTTGACATGGAGAAGTGCTCAAAACTGTATGACATCTTACTAGCCTAGTGGAATCCTTCTCATTTAAAATAAAAATATCCTTTCTTTTAACCCTGGTTGACACTTTTAACTGTTGAACATACATGGTGCATTTCCTCCCAGTGAAGCAGAAAGAGAAAATTGGTTTGTTTCAGCTTTCTTATCACTTTGTTTCCTGCAGGATAAAAAGTAGAGGAAAGAATGCAGGGAGTGCAGGCGTAGGAACTGGGATTTCCTGGTTGACAAAATTTCCCTTTTCTATCTATATATTCATTCACCCCAAGAAACTTAAAGGGATGGGTTCCCTTCCCCTCGAGCTCCAAATCCCACTTCCCCATCCCCTCCTGAGGTGCATCTACACTGTAGAAATAATGCAGTTTGACACTACTGTAAGTGCTGTCCTATGGAATTTGTAGTTTTACAAACTCTTTTGCCTTCTCTGCCAAAGAATGCTGGTGCCTCACAAAACTACAAATCCTGAGATTCTTCTGCAAGAGACTAGAGTGGCCCCCTCCCTGCTTGCCTTACAATGGTAGGTTAAGACATTTTGATGACAGGCTAAGATGTCTATTATATTTTAATGTAATTTTATATTGTTTTTAGATGATTTTAGCTGCTTTAAATTTTATTGTTATGTTTTTAAAATCTGTGAGCTGCCTTAGGTTTCTTCGGGGAGAAAGGCAGCATATACATAAATGAAATAAATAAATCTGTAGAATGGAGCCATGGCAGTTAAAGTGACATCAAACTGCTTTATTTCTCCAGTACAGATGCATCCCTGGAATGGAACAGCTCTCATCCCCCTCTCTTACCATCTCTTGTGCATGCATGTCAGCACACACTGTGACTCATTTTTGTATTGTGTTTTCTAAAAGCCATCCAGAGATTACAGCCACTGCAAAAGATGAGTCATACAGAACAGCATTATTCAATGTGGTGATCTCTAGAATGGTGCCAATCCCAAAGTCATTGGCTGCTGGTCCCTGTAAGTTTCCAGGAAGGAAAGAAACAGTTGTACCCATTGGGCACAAATTTAGTGTCAGTATCTAGCACATGGGTGGTGGTGATGGTGGAATAATTGCCACACATCAGATAGCTTGAGAAGCACTACTGTAGCATGTTCTGTTGCAGGAAGAAGCAGCACTTCCCCTCCAGGAGAGAAAAACACAAAAACAGGGGTAGGCAACCTTTCCCCTTTAAGGGCTGAGGGACTTCAGCTCCCAGAATCCCAGGAGCTATTGGCCAACATGGGACTATTGGCCAACATGGCTGAGGCTTCTGGGAGCTGAAATCCCTCGGCCCTTAAAGGGGAAAGGTTGCCTACCCCTGCACAAAAAAACCAAAGATGCTCTCTTTCATGCCTCAGCAAGCAGTGTGCACCTGCCAGGACTTAAAAAGAGCCCAGACAGGAGTATACTTGTCCCTCCACATTCACTCCAGTTAGGGGCACAGGACCCCCATGAATGTGGAAAAACCACAAATAACAAAAACAGTGTTTTTACCTGAGAGAGCACCTCTCTAGCAATCTCTAGGTCCTCCATTGGAACTTTGTGGTCAACATCTACCAGGCATTGACCATAGAATTGCACTGGAGAAGCTAAATGCCTAGTGGAGTGTTCTTTCTAGGACTCTCTAGGTCCTCCAGTGTGACTTTTGGTTAAGGTTGACCATAGAGTTGCGATGGAGGACCTAGATATTCCTAATGAGAACATATTAATAAAATCCGTGAATAATCAGCTCCTCAAAGGTCAAAGTCACAAATATGGAGGGACGAGTGTAGATAGAGTAACTTCTTATCCTCTTTGCTTCCTCTCCAGCCACAGACAGCTATTGTTCTCTGCTCCCACTAGTGAAGTACAAAGAAAACAGGTGAAAGATTGGGAAGAAGCTCAGTCTTCTGCAACTATAATGAGCAGCAAAGCACACCACCTAACAGCAACCCCCTGTCTCTGCACTCACTACCTGTTCCTCTTGCATTGCAAGGAGAAAGACAGATGCTTGGGGGTTAGAGCAAACTTTTTTTTTTACTTGGAATTAAATGTGTCTGTTTCTAACAAATAAAAATGCATTTATTCTAATGTACTGTGGAGAATTTCTGAAAATAGTGTATCATTAGGTAATCTAATGAACTGTCATTATGTTTTTAAAAATTACTGTTATGCTAGAAATTTGGAGTCTACAAAAATTGTAGAATACAAATTTGTGCCAGGAAAGATTGTACAGCATCTTTCTCATTCCTGGTCCTAGAAAGGAGTGCAGGGGCATGAGAATGGAGTGTTAGAAACAGACACATTTAATTCCAAGTTTAAAAAAAGTTTGCTCTAGTACTGGGCACCACAGTTCGAAAAGGATGTTGACAAGCTGCAGTATGAAAAGAGCAGGGTGACCAAAATAGTGAAAGATCTGGAACCCATGCCCTGTGAGGAATGACTTAGGGAGCTGGGTATGTTTAATCTGGAGAAGAGAAGGTTAAGAGGTAGCCCTGTTTAACTATTTGAAGGGATGTCATATTGAGGATGGAGTACGCTTGTTTTCTGCTGCTTCAGAGAATAGAACAATGGGTGCAAGCTCCAGGAAAAGAGATTCCACCTCAACATTAGGAGGAACTTCCTGACAGTAAGGGCGGTTTGACAGTGGAACACACTCCCTCGGAGAATAGTGGAGTCTCCTTCCTTGGAGGTCTTTAAACAGAGGCTGGATGGCCATCTGTCAGGGATGCTTTGATTATGAGTTCCTGCATGGCAGGGGGGTTGGATTGGATGGCCCTTGTAGTCTCTTCCAACTCTATGATTCTATGTCTATGATTTAATGGAGAGCAGAATTCTTATTTGGGGATCAATTACTTCATTCTACCACCTCCCCACATAGCTACATGCCTGATGGCACCAGGAAAATGACAGACCACAGAGAAAACAAGTGTTTTACAAAGTTAGAAGAAGCTATGCAACATAAACAATGGCATGTTTAACTTTTAATAGCCAAAAACAGTCAGCTTAGTAGAGAGGAGCAGTTTCTATAAACATCCTTGGTCTTGAAGGGAATCCATTGTAGGAGCACAGCTGTCCTCTCCTGCCAATAGCAAATGTGGCTGGGGAAACTTTGCTAATGAAGCCAGGTGATCCACAATTTAGGGGATGATGAGTTCAATTGTGCAATGCACATTTACAGTATGATGAATTACATTTGTAATTGTGTGCCTTCAAGTCAAGAAGATGCACCTGGTCTAATAGCCAAAGCTGATAGTAAGCACTCTAAACTCTCACATCTGTCTGGGCAGTCACTTCAAGTAACAGATCCACACACTCAAGCTGGGAACACATTCTTTCATGGGAACCGTAACCATCCAGGACTGGTTGACACACCTCCAAACCCATCTTGTTTGGATTCAGCTTCAGGGATTTTCCCTTCATCCAACCCAACCTTATTGGAAGTTTTTGTATTCTCTTTCCCCCTTCTTAGATAGATATGGATTTCCTGCATGCAAACTCCCCCCCCCCCATTCTAACTAACCATGTGATTTAAGTCACTCCTCCTATGGGATTAACAGACACTCACTCAAAAGATTTTTCTCCTGACCTGTTGGGTCCTCCATCCTCCTCCTCCTTCAGCTTTCAACCTTCCTCCAGGCATTCAGTAGAGACACACTATCCACCCACACTATTTTGGTGTCATCAGCATACTGATAGCATCATGCCCATGCCTCCAGGTGCTCTCTCCCAGCAGTTTTGTGTCGATGTTAAACAGCATTGAGGATATAATGGCACCTTGTGGTATGCCATGTAACAGCTCTTTTTTTGAGGAGCAATAATCCCCAAGCACCACCATCTGGAACTTGTTGGAGATGTAGGACCAGAACCACTGAAGCACAGTGCCAAACTCTGCAGGTGTTCCAGAAGGATAACGTGGTCAATGGTCTCAAATGCTGGGAAGAGATCCAAAATCATTATCAAGGGCACACTCTCCCTATCAGTGCTCAAGTGAAAATCATCTGCTAAGGTGACCATAATGGTCCCATGCCATATTTTTCTCTGAAACAACTTTGAAATGGGTCTAAAAATGTGTATTATCCAAGGCTGCTTGGAGTTGGAAGGAAACTATGACCTCAGTCACCTTGCCCAGAAAAGAAAGATTTGAAACTGGTCTGTTGTTTGTTGTTAACTGGTACCGAGATGGCCTCAACTCACGACAACTCTGTGAATGAGACATCTCCATTCCTCCCTATCCTCAGCCACTCTCCTTAGGTCCTTCAGACTCAGGCCCATGGCCTCCCTGATTGAGTCTACCCACCTGACATGTGGTCTTCCTCTCTTTCTGCTTCTCTCTACCTTGCCTAGCATTATACCGGTAGTCATTTCTAATGCCTTCTCATGATGTGACCAAAGTATGACAGCCTCAGTTTCATCATCTTTGCTTCCAGGGAGAGTTCAGGCTTGATCTGTTCTAGAATCCATTTGTTTGTCTTTTTGGCCATCCACAGTATCCTCAGAACTTTTCTCCAGCACCACATCTCCAATGAGTTGATTTTCTTTCTGTCAGTTTTCTTCACTGTCCAGCTTTCACATCCATACATGGTGATGGGGAATACTGTGGCTTGGACAATTCTGACTTTGGTGCTCAGTTGCATGTCTTTGCTCTTTAGGATCTTGTCTAGTTCTTTCATCA